GCTAAAACAGATCCACAGGATCACTGCTAAAACAGATCCACAGGTTCACTGCTAAAACAGATCCACAGGTTCACTGCTAAAACAGATCCACAAGATCACTGCTAAAACAGATCCACAGGATCACTGCTAAAACAGATCCACAGGATCACTGCTAAAACAGATCCACAGGATCACTGCTAAAACAGATCCACATTTTCACTGCTAAAACAGATCCACAGATTCAAAACAGATCCACAGATTCAGACTGGAGCTGTTTTCTTCTTCCATATAACAAGATGGCATAAATATGAAACACTGATGATTTCTATTGCAGAGGAAACTGATATGAAGCATTGATAAATCATTTCGTCCTCTACTGGACCAGTAATTATCCCAGATTTCATGCTGTGTTTATGTGTGAAAAATTATTGGTTTCAACTAAACAAAAATAGTTGAAATACCTCATATTTTTAAATGTTTATTGTATATTTTGAGTCTTGATGACTTTTTGATCCTCTTAAAGGAGATTTATCACTTTCCAGAAGCTTAGATGGTTTGATCATATGAAGTGTCCCAGTCTTCCTCCACTGCAGATAAAGTCATTTTATACATTATGCTGGTTATTAGCCACATTATACAGCAATTTTGCAGCTGGTTTTTCAGCTGTGGAGTCTGTTTTGTCATATAATCCAAACATGGTGAGACATGAGGGACGAGGATCAGCTTCACCACAACAATCCAGCAAAACATGAAGCAAACAGCAGATTGTTCTCTCCTCAAGGTCGGAGGTCAGCTGCTGCGAAGCAGGACGAAGGTCAGAAACTGCAGCTTTAAAAGGCTGCAGAGTGAATCTGAATCTAAAACAGGCCATGGTTTATCATGTCTGCTCCAGTCTGGCTGGAAAATAAAACATCAAATGGCTGCAGGTAACAAACAAGATGGGAGCCGCAGATGCTGAGAGCAGAAAATGACGCACTTGATCTTTGCATGACTCATCTGAGAGAGGAAGGAAGGAGCAAGTTTTAAAATCCCTTAAATGAGCCGGAAACCTGGATAAATTCTCCTTCTGATCCCATCAAACTGTAACCAAATTTTATGAAATCACATTGTTTTTTACTTCATACAGATGAGAGAGAAAATGAGACAAGATGGTCTCATTGATATATATCAACACATATATGAGGAAAAATACCAGAGTAAGATTTGTCCTCTGTTTCCAAACTGCATCATGTTTAGCTGTCATGCGCACCCAGAGCAAATGCGCAACGGAAGCCTTTTACGCAAAATCCCCTGACAGCATCAGACACACCCCTCCGTGTTCCCCCCTTCAGACGGAAGATAAACACATTCAAATCATTCCTGCAGCTGCAGCAGCGCCGGTTTCTCTACCTGAACGGAGAGGATCTGCTGCTCCTTCACGGACCAGTGGCGACAAGTTGGACTTTTGGTTTTTATCCCACTTCCAGTGAGAGAGAGAAAATATTCCACTGCTTTCAAGTCAACTGTGGAGCTGACAGGGGTCCAAGGATGGAGTCAGGGAAGGTGCGCACACAGTATCTGCAAGAGGGAGAGCGAGGTAGGCCGAAACAGAAGAGAGAGAGAGAGAGAGAGAGAGAGAGAGACAGAGAGAGAGAGAGAGAGAGACAGAGAGAGAGAGAGCGCAAAAATCTGCAGAGGGTCCATTTTCTTTCCTACCCTCAACGAAGGAACATTTGATTTTCTCCAACAAAAGAGATTTCGTTTTATTAGATTAGTTTACGCACATATTATTTATATTTTTTAAAGATCTTCTGCAGATTTTATTGCGTTTAAACGGATCCAAACAGAAGGTAAGATCTAAAAATATCTGCCGCCCTCATATGATAAACAGGATTATTAAAATTAATATCCAGTGAGGCCTAAAATTCACCCGATGCTGTAAATGTCTGAATGAATTTCCAGATTTAGAGGAAAACGCTGATATTTTATTTATAAGCACTGAGCTAAAAGAGAGGCAGGATACAAGGTTATATCTGAACTTTAATTGGTTTATTTTTCTTTTTTATTAGTCAGATGATTTATTCTTTATATTTGAAAATGTTCCCTGCAGTGTCTCTTGTGTGCGCGCATGACGCGCCATGAAAACACCCAGGCTGCACATCTGAAGCCACAAACAGGAATTATTTCTCCTCTAAATCAGAAAATATTTCACTATTGTTTCACTTTAATGCGCAAAAATCCGTCATGTCATTAAAGCAGCCAAAAACTCATGAAATGATTCATATTTTCTTCAGGTGAAAATGGATTCATCGAAAGGAGCCGAGATGGAAAAACCTTCATCACACACGGATGATGGGATGATGATGATGTGGCGCAAAGAGCCTCAATAATCCGCAGCGCAGGTGAGAGATTCAAGACTTTATAGCGTCTCTGTTTGTTCTACAAATTCCTGCAACGCACATTTTCCTGCTGGTTCCCGAACTCTGCGCGATGCCAGTCGGACTGGTTCCCTGACCCGCCCTGCGTCCTGCGGGGCAGGAAGGAGGGCTGCGGGTTTTCTTCACCGCTTCTCTCTGACGGAGCGCAGATGTGACGCGTTGAGCTCTCAGGTCCCTGGAGTTCAGAAAACAGGTGTGACGTGCAGCCAAATGAGGCGTTTTCGCCCCCTGGCGGAGAAATGAGCAAAATGCAAGTTCATTTACGCATTTTAACTTTCTTATCTTTTAAGAAAATCTATCTTTTGTTCATTTGGTTCTGCATATGCACACGTTGAAATCTGTTTTTTTCAAAATTAAGTCAGATTTAGACTGAACACCAAAAGGCCGAATGGAGTCAAAGGTCAGGAACTCTGACTGAATTATTATCATTTATTTCACATGTAAAGTAACAGTTTTCAGACTTTATTTGACAAAATCCAAAGAATCTAATTAAATGAACAAATAAAAATAGTAAGTAATGTAAAGAATTAACCAGAGGAGAGAATCTGGACATGTCAGCATTTTTTATCTGCTGTCCTCATACTGACGGTGCAAAATGTTTTTAAAACAAAATATAAGAAAATATGTTTCAAACTTGTATTATTTTTTTATTTTATTCACTTGAAGCTCCTTCCATGCGCTGATATTAATCATATTTCTGTCATATTTCTATAAATCATCAATTTTTACGTAGCTCTGAAGCAGAAGCTTATAGTTTTATGTCACTGCAAAAATAAAACATATTTTCAAACAACAGATTAAAAAGAATCAAGTTATGCAGCAAAGTGAGGTCAGAATTGAAAATCTGAGTATCACTGAATAATTTAAACTCTCTGGATCTGAACTTTGACCTGCTGCAGCTTCTGCAGGGAATTCGTCCTTGACTGAAATAAGACTCCAACTGTCTGAAACCTGCATGTCAGCTTGGTTTTCTTCACTTAAACTTAGCATCTGTACAAAATCATCAACTTTGGATTCAAGTTATGCTTTTATAGTAAAATAATCTTTATTATTGAGTTTAAACCTGAGTTTTAGGTTTAAACTCAGAACATGGAAACAGTTTTGATAAATTCTCCTGAAATATCAAGTTCAGAAAGTGACTTAAACCAAAACATAAAACAAATTGAGATGGTTTTACTTTTATATCTGCAGGTATAAATGTCTGTAGCTTTGATGCTTCATCCCATTTCTATATGCAGAGATTTTGACTTTATGTAATTTTTCAGTCATTTCACATAAAAACCTAAAATTTGTCAGATTTGATTTAACCTCCATTTGATTCTGAGGAAGACTTGAAGTTAAACTTCATTGATTCCTGGAGGTTTGTTGTTTCTCAGCTGAATTTTCTGATTCAGCTGCAAACATGCGAAGACGTTTGGTTCTCTGTTGGACTCAGGATTTTATTTCTACACTAAAACAGAAAATCTGTGGACTAAAACATCGGTTGAAAGGTTTGAAATTATTAATGTAAAAATTATTGAAATTAGTAAAAGAATATTTTTTTAATAGTTCAAACCTTCAAACTTTATTTTTGAACTATAAACATCTCAGATTAGCAGGTTAGTCTAATTGCAATATTCCCAAATGTAGTTTGATGAAATAGATAATTACAGCTTAAAGAAATATTAATAAAGCATGGAAGGAACTTTAAAATAAAAACTGAGTTTTAAAAGATATTTTCTTACAATTACAGCCAAATAAAACAAAAAGATGCATAAAGCAGAGTGCATATATTGTGCATGTTTTTAGCTACAGTAGCTTTCATTCAGTAGTAAAGTTGCTCAGTATATGTGAAATAATTGAGTTAGTCAATAAGTTTTCTTCTCACATCTTTATTTATGTCGATGCAAACGTTTTATAAACCCAACACAAACAAAAAAACATGAACATATTCACATATCTGACATGTCAGGAGACGTTCAGGGTCCAGTTTTAAGCTTTAAGCTTTAATAGTGTTGTAACAATAAGTGGGACGATCCAGAACCACAAACCCGATCCGCTCAGAGCCGAGCAGGACGGTTCCATTGAAGAACACAAACCCCAAAATATGGACAATAAATCTGGACTGTGGTCTGCAGGCTCAACCCCCCTCCCCACCCGGAGGCACATCAAATATATAAAAATAAAATAAGCAGGTTCTGACACATTCAGGCACTCAGGGTAAAAAAAAAAACAGGCAAAGAGAAAACAGGAAGTGACAAAGAAAGAAAAGTGATGATCAAGTGAATCCTTACAGGTTAAAAGAAAAAATTCTCTGTCAGACATTAGAGACCAACACTTGGTGCCGCTCCTTGTTCATTAAAAAGCTGCAGACAGGAAACAAAAATGTGATTTTTACACAAAAATTGCACAGAAGATTAATCCAATCATCAAAATTAAACTGATTTCCTCCCAACAGAGAATAAGAAAGTGTAGTGTGACTGGAAACAAAAGCAATTTCCTATTTTCATCACTTAGTGTCTTTTACTAAAATATAAAGTTTCATCACCTAAATAAAGATCTCGGCTCATAATAACGACTAATAATATGTAAAAAGAAATTACATAACTGAACGTGAAGGTGGCAGTGTGATCACAAGTCATACATGGTGATTTTATTAATTTTTTATTTTTTTTTTTTACATTCATCATTCTGGAAACTGTGGTTACTATGGCAACAGCTTCCCAACACAAAGTGCCGAAAAGTGATTTTATATCATGAAACTGGACTTTAACTGACGCTTCATGGAAAATAAAGATAAAAACGATGAAATATTTTATATGATGGATGCAACATGCAGATATTTCATGTTGATGCAGCTTTTAAAGCAGTTTCATGATAGACGGGTTGATATTTATAGACGTTATCTGCAAAAACACCGGGTCTTACCAAATAATGCCTCCAGTTTCTATTCCAAATATATTAGCACATTTGAAATGAAACAAAGTTAAAAAGGAATAAATGAGTAATAAGTTTATTTTAAGTCAAAGAAAGTGCTGGTTGAACTGGCAGATTTTTCCACAGGAAACAGAAAAATGTTTTGTTGCTGGTGAAAATAATCTGCCAGTGGAACTAGTATTTCTTTATCTTCCCACATGAATTATTGACTTAAAACAAGCTTATATATTTTAGTTTTGTCTGATTAAACAAAAATTAAACACAAAATATTTTGTGTTTTTTTTTCTTGTTTCTTAGATTCTGATCTGACCCAAAAATACACATTTATGTCTAAATGCTTTTTTAAAACTAAATTAAATCTAAATGTTTTTATTGGATTAATGTGAATTTAGCTCCATGTTTTAATTGGCTGTGATGTGAAAGCAGCCAATCAACAGCCTGATTGCGTGCAGCAGGATTTGGCAGACGTTGCCTTCAGGTTCGCGCGGTAAAAAGGAGATTATGCAGACGGAGAGAGCGGGAGTTGAAGTGGGAATGCTAAGCTTTCCCTTCCTCCTCATGTGCACCTGCGCAGCGCCTCCTGCATCTTCTCCTGCACATGCTCCATCTTCTCGGCCCACTCCTCGCTCAGCCCCTCCTCGTCGTCGCCGATGATGGCGGAGTAGCCCATCAGGGCGATGAGGCCGATGCAGAACAGGTACGTGAGGCGCGTGCAGAGGCGCTCCATGACGCGGCGGTCGCCCTGCGAGTGCTTCAGGTACACCTCCAGGATGGGCCGGCTGAACAGCTTCCGCTTGCCCACCACGCCGTCGTACAGCGTGTGCAGGTTCTGGTCGCCCAGGTCGTTGGCGTAGCTCTCCTCGAAGTCGTCCTTCTTGCCGTCGCGATGCTCCGGTCGCGCCTCCACCATGGCCATGAACTTCCTGAACTGGTCTTCAGGTTCTCCTCCACGTGGCAGTACTGGCCGTCCAGCGTCTCCTTCTCGATCTGGACCAGCGTCCGGCGGTTCTGGGACAGCTCGTCCAGCTTCTGGTGGACGGAGCCGAACTCGCGCTTCAGCGTGCGGATGTCCTCATCGTCCACGTGGTGCAGCACCACCCGGATCAGGGAGCCCGCCACGCCGAAGATGGGGTTGACCACGG